CTAAATAATATATTCAAGAAGTAAAATTTTAATTATTATGCTGAAGATATTTTTATTTACTCCCCGTTTCTGGTAATGTGGGTACTAGGGTAAAATAAAACTCAAGGTGCTCACCTGAATGTATCTCCAGTTCGGTCCTTGAAGTAGAAGTACCCATAATGATCCATTACAAGAACATCGCCTGTATTGAAATAGCAGTCACCTTCATTTCTCACATTGCGTACCATCTTCTTTTCTGAAGCGGTTTTGTCAGCATACCCCGCAAATGTCAGAATTGCTTTTTTCGCATCAATTTTACCTAACAGAAGACCTGGAAAAATAGGCTTTATTATTAAGCTGTTTAGGTTCATTTTATTGGGATATGAATGATTGTTGAAAATGTACCTGGTTCATGAGGACCGCAAGTAATACATCTGCCATTACTGTCTCGCAGGATTTCACCAGTAATCTCATCACATCTGAAAATCGATATTTTGACTGTAAGTTATTCTTGAACCATACATATAATTAGAGAAATTAAAACTATTTCAATTTGTGATAAGTTATAGATTTTTGTGTCATGTATGGCAGCAAATACTCACTTGACTAAAGTAAGAGGATAAATCGTTGAGAATATCCTACTCAAGAAACCAATGGCTCCCACTTTTGAATCAAGATTTACTGAAAATATAAAAGATAATCAAATTAGACTAACAAGTTACCCGACCACAACAGGACATATTAACACTCAGCTTTACTACTCACCAAGATTGCTGTTTCCCTCAGTAGCACCATAGAACTCCATGACCCTTTTGATGCCAAATCTTTTAACAAACTCTTCCCATATCTGCGGCCTTAGTCCATTGCCGAAGATAACGTTGACTTTGTGAGCGCGGTCGTTAGGACCAGGAGGCACTGCGAGAAGGTAGCGGCAGATCTCACCAATGTACTGAGTGGCCTGAAGAAGAAATAGGTAGTTCTATCACTATTTAATTCGGATTTTCAGAATTATTTTATCTGAAAACTTAATAGCATAATCGATTTTAAGCTAAGATTTCCAAAATGATTTTTTTTATACAATTAGAACCAATTAAAAAAAAATGTATACCCCACATTCGGATATTCTCGTGTGTCGTGGGTGCGCTTACAAACATACAAGTTCACACATGACACCCAGAATCGAAACAACAATTTGTGAATCACACAAAGAGTTGTTCCGTGCAGGAATCGAACCCGCTACATGTCGCTTGGCAACCAGTTGCCCAGTCACCGTGCAGTTAGATGTTTGAGATCTGGTTGTCTTAAAGTTATGCCAAATATCATTACACTGGTTTACTTTATAAAAAAGTATCTGATAGGCACTTACCGTGCATCCATATTTAGCAGCATCACTCCAATAATTGGAAGCGGAGAACTTCTTCCTAAGCACAACTGTACACCCTGAAACTATAGCAAGACCTGCGCCTAGTACTCCGCCCGCCGTGTGGTGAAGAGGTAGTGGGTCGTATATCACATCGGATGGAGTGAGCTGCGCTGAGCTCTGCACTCCTAGTGGAATCAACAGGTATCTGAGGAAAAAACGAGAAAATTGAATTTATTTTAAGTAAATAAGATTTTTAGTACTCTTGTTCACATTGGAGCTTTTATATTCATTACCAAAACTTCAAAAATATGGTAATAGACTGCATTGCAAAAATTCCACATTACTCAAGAAAAGTTTCCAAATTGGGACACATTCGAACACCCGACTACAAATTACCATCTATATAGTTTTTAAGTGGAAAATCCCGAAAAACATATAAAATTTTCTTACGAACAAGAAAGATTTCCTTAACTGAGTCATCATAATTTTCGTCCATCCTCACCGATTTAACACTTTTATTTGAAAATAACTGTAATTTTAATTACCCAACGCATTTTCTTAGAAAGTAATTATTTTGTAAGGTTGTGTACTTACCTAATATTTGTAATAATAGCTGCCTTAGGGAATCCAGTAGTCCCACTAGTATAAATATACAAGAGCGTGTCTCTTGGTTTCGCCTGCTCAGTCTCAATGACAGGCTCTGTGGACATTTCCTTCAGCTCAACGGACAAATGTGCTGTACCCTGGACGAAAGGAGCCTTCTCCCTGTCCGGGGAGTTGTATTGGAAGAGTGGGATGTCTGGAATCTCTGATTGGATCTCTTTTACAGCTGGAATGTGGAACAACGTCATGTTTACAGTTTAATGATAAATGGGTTAACAGAGTTTAGTAGTCTACTCTTTTGTGAACAATACAGGGAACAGGGTTCTGATGAATGTTTATTTATATACAGGACTTAAAACGAATACAAATAAATAGATCATCATCATCAGTAGCAGCAGCCGGAAGACGTCCACTGCAGGACAAAGGCCTCCCCCTTAGTCCACCATGTCCTCCAATAAATAGATAAAAATGTAAAATCCACAGCTACTAATAAGTAGTTTACGAATACAAAGAAACAATTTTATTACAGTTACAGAAAATCGCCAAGTCACTATTTGGTAGCTTCAAACAAAACAAGATAAGATAATCAACAAATCAAAAGATAAAGTGCTACTGAACTCTTCATAAAACAAGACTGAGTTATTTTTGCATGAAAACTACTTACTAAGGACGTGAGACATACCGATTATCTATGTATTTTTTAAAGTCAAACAAAGGCAATTAGAACTTCGGAATAAACAGTTTTTTCAAATAATTAAGAATCACTTACATTCCGACATCTCATCTCCGAAGATAACAGCTTTGCAGCCAGCTATCCTGAGGCAGTGTATCAGTTGACTGCCCTTCAAGTTGGTGTTGATCAGTGCAGTGGTCACCCTGATCTTGGCCAGACCGAGCCATAGGAACACATACTCAGGCTGCGTCTCCATCAACAAGGCGATTACTTCACCAGGCTTATATCCTGCTCGCTTGAAGTACCAGGATATGCGGTTACTGAATTCATCACCCTGAAAGATAAATGAATACATAACATCACACCTTTTATCCCTGTAAGGGTAGGCAGAGGTGCACATTACGGCACTTAATGCCACTACAATGTAAAACCCACTTTTCACTATATATGTTATAAGTCCTGGGTAATAGGGGTGAGTCATTGCCATATACCGAGCACATTTCCAGACTACGGAGTCTTTGAAAGGAGTAACACCCAGTAATACTTTTCCCGACCCGGGAACTGAACTCGGCCAATGAAGCAGACAAAAAAGATAAATGAGTTTATGGGGATTAAACTGTCAAACACCGCGATGACACCGGTGACCGCAACCTATTGTTATTTAATTGTGTCTATAATGACGGTACTCAACGAGTTAATATAATTATTCATAAGATTTTTTTATTGGTCCTTCGATACGAATATCTATAAAAAAATTAAATGATGCCTTTTGTTTACTCATAAAGTACCCTCATTCAATAAAAAAATTAAAGAAAAGTATGCCAGAAGACTGCCTCGCTGGCCGAGTGGTCGCAAGTGCGACTGCAGGGCAAGGGGTCTTCGGTTCGATTCCCGGGTCGGGCGAAGTATTACTGGGTTTTTAAAAATTCTCAGTAGTAGCACGGAGTCTGAAATTGTGTCCGGTATATGGCAATAGGCTCACCCCTTATTACATGGGACTCATAACATAAATAGTGAAAAGTGGGTGTTACATTTACTTACGTAGTAACTATTAAGTAATCTGTGGTACAGTGATCTAATGTACACCTCTGCCTTTTTTTTAAGGGGGGAAAATCCTCGAATGACTGCTACCCCTTCTGCCTATCCCTTCGGGGATAAAAGGCGTGATGTTATGTATGTGTTAATGTTATGTATGCCACAAGAATATCCGATAATTGGTGTTCCTTTGTAGGGACAATGGCAGAGGACCGCCAATTAAGATTTAAGATTTCACTTAAAACTTATAATTCAGTTTACGATTCTTCTACGTATTAGCAAAATTTCATTCAAATTCATTCACAAGCTTCTGCCGTTGTCCTTCACATATATATACTACTTCTGTAAGATATGTTGCTTACCTCGCGGAACGTGAGAGCCCTATTGTCCATGACAAAGGCCTTTTTGTTCGGGCTCATTCGAGCCACATCGGCCCACCTCGTGACCACCGTCTTGCCTTGACGCTCCCACATCCATATCCTGAATATTGTGTATAGAAGGACACGCAGACCTCTGGAATAGAAAATATAAAGTCATGTATGAGTCAGACTACAATGCTGCAGGGTCTGGAGAGTGATATAGTGAGGGCGGTATGTAACACTGGTTTTGCGTCGACCCGGGATTTGAATACAATATCTACGCGGCCGCTGGCGAACGAGTCTAACGTGCCAGTGGTGTCGCGCGCGCCACCACTAATGGAGGAAAGTGCGCGTGAATCACGACAGAGGGCGCGTTGGGCCCGCCCCGCAGCTGACTAAAGCCAGTAGTAGCACGATAGTCGCCGGACGGTCGCGGAATGCTGCTCATGAATATGAGCCTCTAGAATGGCTTGAAAGTAGTCGAGTTCCTCGTTAAATAGTTACGTGAGTAAGCCGAAAACATAATAATTAATAAGAAAATATAATAGGTACTCTGTAGCACTTTGGTTCGGTTCATCATCAGGCCAATTGCGTCCTGATTAAACCAAGAGACGGATCACCTGGTGGTAAGCAATTGGCTCTGCTCATGGACATCTGAAAGTCCAGACGCACTACAAGTGCGTTACCGACCTTCTAAGGGTTAGTGATTTGAGGATTGGGGATTTGGAGATTGGGGAGATTGGGGAGGGGGGCATCGGGTCTCCAAAAATTGGTACTGCTACCCATTCTCTAAGTAGGTGGTCGCAATTTTAGGACATATTGGTTCGTTGGATTTCATGTTTCATAGGTTTCACTTTCTCTTACCCTTGTTTCTAATTATTTTCAAACGTAGGTATTTACAGCGAATTTAAATAATGCCTATAATCTTATCGTGTAGGTACTGTAATACGAAAGTATTAGTTTAGTTATTTTATCGTACTAATCAAGTGTAGCAAACATCTGATTAAATACTATCTAATGATATTATGAAGTCACGTTTTTAATTTATTACATAATGATAACGAGATATAGAGGAAAGTAATCATCATTATATCTATATAGTTTTGTTTATTTTCGTGTATTTTTTATGGGATAAGCTGGTAAATGGTCATTCGGATCGTCTGTTGGTAACCCTGGAACGCCAGAGATGCGTTACCGGACTTTTGGGGATTAGGAGTTTGAGGATTGTTGGGGATTCAGGGATTGGAGAGATTGGGGAACGGGAGATGGTAATTGGGCCTCTGGTAACCTCACTCACATGACGAAACACGACGCAAACATTACTTCACGTTAGTTTTCTGTAAAACTGTGGTATCACTCTGGTCGAGTCGATTTTAATTCTCCCTTTTAGTAAGCCTCGCCACTAATATTCCCACATGCAATCTACCAGGCAATCATAAAATTACATAACACTTCGATGACGAGCTCTCGTATGTTCGAGCTGGCCAATCATCCAATCATTGAGAGCAACTACAGTGGACTGACACTTCGTACTATAGATCCTATAAATCCTACATCTTGCTGCTCTCCTGGTCTAATAGTGAGCATCCGGCTTACCTTAAATTGAGAGTTATTTGTTATGTTGCATCGTCAAACTTCATTCATAGGAATAAATAAAACTGAAAAACGTTAGAACACATGGTCATGTACCGTTTTTCTAATAATCCCCATGCTTAAAAGCATTTTCTAGCATTACACTCGTTGATATGTTAATTTTTTAAAGTCAAAAATCAATTTGCAATTGTTATTTCGTAAACAAAACACAAAATGAAAGTTGTCAAAAGTAAGCGTTACCCTTGTATTTGGTCCTTCGGTATATATATAATGTTCAATAGTTTGAAAGTAAAACCTGAATATTTTAGTCATATTCTTTTCGACTTTTACCCGTTTTGAGTATGTCTTTAATAATGTCATTATGAGATTTATAATTAGCATTTAAATTCTCCATTTTGAGGACTAAATCTTAGTCAATATTTTTAAGCTTAACGCACACACAATTTGCTATGGTTTACATGATATATTATGATATAATAGTATTCTAAACCATCTACATATTTAGATATTCATTTTTTGCGTAACGTATTTAATATGTGTACAAAAGTTCATTTTAAACAAGTAAAATAAAAACAGCTTAATAAAAGAAGAGATAAACTGATAAAAAGCCATTTCGCATTGGAATGTTAACTGAACGAGTCCCCCTTGTAAACAGTTTATGTACTAGGAGATCAGGAGAGGCCAAGGTCCAACGCAACTGGCAATTGCTGCAGACACCTTGTGGCCGTACAATGGAGAGCTATCAACTGCGTCCGGTGTTTCGCATTACTCGCTACAGCTTATGCTAGTCTGGTAATTTTGAGGAGATAGAGACAAATATTATTATGTAGTAAGACTACATACTTACATAACTTTACGCCTGTCTCCCATGGGGGTAGGCAGAGAGTATGGAACGCCAATTCCTACCATTCCTACATACCTCTTTCGCTTCATCAACAGTCATCAATCTTTAAACTGTCAAACACCAAGCGGTCACCGGTGACCGCAACCTATTGTTCTTTAATTGTGTCTATAATGACGGTATTCGACGAGTTAAGATTAGATGTAGTAAGATTTTTATAGAAATTAATTCTTATTCGGTTCTTTACCGTGAACCTTATTTTGTCAACAGGTTTGCCCTCTTATCGCAACTAACTGTTATTAATTAACATGAGCAGTATAGAAAATATACGTATAATCCTGAAATTTTTTCGGTTTCATTCTTTGTTATCTTTATTTACATTAATAAGAAAAATAACTATTTACACAGAGATTATCTATGTATTGTTTATTCCCTACGGAAATTGACTTGGCAACGCGCAAAATAATGATGCACAATTGGATATCTTTCTTACCCAACAGTCGTTCAGTTAAACTCAATCTTATTAATGTTAAATTAAAAATATTTCATAATTTACTAACGCAAATTGAGTATTTCAACTTAACAATACACTTTACAAATTAAATTTTATTTAAACGCTGTGCTGCAAATATATCTACTGTTCTCTCTTCTGGAATCTTTGAAAGTAGAAGAAAATTTAGTTCGGTATGAAAGGCGTGTCGAGTGTATAACCTGCCCCTTTTTGTTCGAGATTCATCACGCCGGCCATGCGGTAATACGCTTGTCCTGGCAATTCATATTTCTTTGTTAATTTGAGGTCAAATAACTTTGTTACAATTATCTAGTCGTTCTAATTACATTTTTCTTAAACATTGCCGTTGTATTTTTCTTCTTAAAGCATAAGTTTCCACCTGTTTTCTAATATTACAATATTTATTGTACTCAAGCAAATATGACAGACTGCATCTCCAAACGAGTTAGACGAGTGCATGTTGCTCCTCATCAGTGAGAACCAACACGCGATGCCTCAACAAGGTTCAATGTGAGTCATTAACATTCATTAAACTGCGGGACTGAACTTACTGCACCTGTCTTTGAAAAATGACAGATTTATATTATTTTGAAGACCAAATACATACATACATAACTTCATGCCTGTCTTCCATGGGGGTAGGCAGAGACTAGGGGACGCCAATGGCTACGATTCCTACATACCTCTTTCGCGTCATCAATCTTTTTATGAATGCTCGTCGGTTAAGGGTACTTTTAATTTAAAGACCAAAATCAAGTGTAATTAAACTATATGGATACGGGTATTGGATCACTGAAAGCCGCCAGCTCTTTCAGTGTGGGAGAGCCATGCTTCAGCACGAATGGGCCGGCTCGACCGGAGTGATACCACGACCTTACAGAAAACCGACGTGAAGCAACACTTGCGTTGCTGTTCATCTTGTGAAGGTTATTGGAAGTCCAATTGCCCCCCCCCCCCTCTTCAATCTCAAGATCCCCACAATATTCAAATTCCTAATCCCCAAAAGGCCGGTGACTTGTAACGCCTCTGGTATCAATGGCAGATGCCGATTACTTACCATCAGGTGATTAATGCTCATTTACTAGCTTATCCCCCATAAAAAATAAACTTTTTAATAGGCAAACGTTATGGGTAAACATTTATTGCTTATTAAAAACACTGATTGATACACAATATGCGTATACAGACTTTAATAACACAAGAAACTTCTAGAAAGAAAGAAGATGGCATCGCGACTTAGAGCCGCGGAGGATTTTACAATACGTTCGTACACGTCAGTGGTCGGGGCTCTCTCTTTTTCCGTTAGTGGTGGGAAGGGGTGGCCACGAGCGCGCGTCTATTGGCGTCCTGCGTTATGTTGCCACCACAGATAATAAAACCATAGACTAATCATAGACTAGATTGTACTTACATATTTTTAAAACCCGCGTTACAACTTTTGGTCAATAAAGTATGACAACCAAATCCACCATTTGGGTGTGTGGTGCAAATAAGTAAAATACAGGGAATTGTCTCCGTTTTCAAAGTTTGATTTAAATTCTTGAACCGAGTAATATTGTGTAAACATTGTTTTACATTTACCTCGACTCATGTTTTGTAAATTGGTTTTAGTTCTCGTATCAGTTGCCATATACCTTGACGAAAAAGGCAAAAAGTCCATTCTTAAGTTTTGCACTTAACAACACATTTCCCTATTAATTTTTACTTATGTTTTGACAACCATAAATTATATAATATTTGAAAATTAATCTACATACCTACATCCTCTTGCCTTATCTACTGATACAAGGAACTTTAATCAATTTATCAATTTAATATCTCGATATCAATTATTGAACTTTTGACTGCATTTGTATTTTCATTTTTTACCTCGACAAAATGTATAGGTGTTTATAACTTTGGTCTATTCTTAGTACTAACTATATGGTGGATAACAATAGCACGTGGGACGCTTTGATTTAATTTTAATGAGTGTTTAATTTCTCTTCTATATATATACATATATAAAAATGAAACCCGTTTCCCGTTGTCACACCATAAGTTGAGAACGGCTAGACCGATTTGGCTGAATTTTTTTTTGTTGTGTTTGTTATTGTCAGGAGAAGGTTCTTATGACAAAAAAAAATCCTGAAGATCCTACGGGAACGAGAGAAAACGGGATTGCGCGTACGAAGTCGCGGGCAGAAGCTAGTTAGTAATAAAAATGGATATCAAAATATATGTACGATCAAAACACATCGAATTTTATTTATTTTTTTCGTATTTATTAGGTACCATCTGTTACTGTAATTGTTTTTTACCGTGGCGATAGCTTATATTGACAATTAAAATTTTTATTAAAATCGTTAGGACAAAGTTTATATAAAACGAAGATTCGATACATTCATCGATAACATCGAGTAATAGCACTCAGACGAAGCTGAGGCGGGCCTCTAGTTTTGAATTTATAAGAATTGTTTATTTATAGTAGTTATATATAGTATACAATTGTTTATTTATAGTATACATATTTGTTTTAACAATCAATATTCGAATTCAATAACTAAATAACAATTACATTCCACATTATTCATTTAAATATCTGGTTCTGTATAAATATTTATAAAATGCGCCTGTTTACGTTGCACTTTGCTCACTAGATTGTAAATTCTGCAACAAAACCCATCTATTGTTTAGGGGAATGTGAAAGAATGGATGGACTTCGATCAGTTTATATGTACCAGGGGACAATGAGTTGACAGAGCATCGAAGACACGCGACACCGGGCTAACCTTTGCACTGTTTGATAACGTGTGTAACAACATGCATGGACGGAATTGGGGGCTATTCTATAATGTTTAATGTAATGCATATCATTTGTTTCTTGTTACTGATATTATTTTTATTTAATACTTCATATACACAATATTCAAACTTGACTTAATCCATATATCCCCAAGCGGTCACCGGTGACCGCACTCCACTAACTACGTCATAGACCTTATTTCCAATGTTTAGAGACCACTTTTGTATGAACAAATTTAGGGGATGATTTTCAACAATTTTCAACAGTTTAAAGTCGAAAGTGTTTCAGGACTGGCCATAAAAAAATGCGACATTATAAATATCTTTTCCATCCATAAATAATCTTTACCACTTTTAATAATAATAAATTAAATTTTAAATATTAAAATGAACGTTATAATAACATTGATCAAAGTAATTGTAAAATTAATGATAGAACGATGCACAATAGATTCCCACAATATAATTGATGTTACGTATAAAAGATTCATTAATTTAGACAAAATTCTTTGATCTCCAAATATTCATAATTCCTAAAAAATAATTACGATTTATGACTTAACACGAAAAATAGTTTTTAATTTAAGCATAATATTTGAGAATATACCAGGCTCTCATCTGTCAAAAGAGACTACACTTAATTATATTCAACATTAATAAGAACACAAGGGACATGAAATATTGTTCTCTACATACCGGGGATATAAGGTGCATAATGAACACATAATACGCCTATAATTCACTTATTAATTTATGTTATTAGTCCATACCATCAGACACAATTTCAGATCGACTTTCACTCTCATCCAATCGCATGTGATTGGTAATAAAATGTTGTTAATATTTGAAATTTTATATTTGTGTTTATTACCTACTAAAACGCAGTTCGCATCAGATAACTTGTTTTTATTAACACCACACAACTATTATATTAAATAGTTTAGTTGTAGTTTATTTTAAGTTGTGAATATTTATGTAATTATATTTCATTTATTTGCTATAGCTTTTACCCGCGGCTTCGCTCGCATCACAAAAGGATAAAAAATAGCCTATGTGACATATACCAATACACACAGCGCCATCTATACCAATAATTTCGTTTTCCCTCGAGAATATCAAATTTTTCCGGGATAAAAATATATTATAAATCGGAAAGTGAGTTTGTTTGTTTGTTTGTTTGTTCCGCTTTCACGCCGTAACTACTAAACCCATTACTTTGAATTTTTGTAGACGTAAAGTTAGAAGTCTGGATTAAATAATAGGGTACTTTTTATCCCTGAAAAAATTGATATTCTCGAGGGAAAACGAAATTATTGGTATAGATGGCGCTGTGTGTATTGGTATATGTCACATAGGCTACTTTTTATCCTTTTGTGACGCGAGCGAAGCCGCGGGTAAAAGCTAGTTTCTATTAAACCATAATTTGGTACTTTTGAAATGTCAACAAATACAAAATAAATAATAGTCTGTCAGTCAGTCCGCCAGTGAAGCTAGGTGAAGCTAGGTGCTCGTTCTAAAATATAGATTCGAATGGAGAAGAACGAGCAAGAAACTTCATTCGTTACTCTTTTTAAAAAAGTATGTTCTACAATGTCTCTGATACATATTCCAATACTGTACGTATATGTGAGAACAATGCAAAGACACGCTTCTGCGCCAAATTTCAACTAGATACATCCAGTTTCTTTTGCAGAAAAGACTAAAAAAACACCCACACATAGGTATCCTCACAAACATTCATATTGTATAATATCAGTAGGAGTAGGTTAGCACAGAAATGTGTATGAAATAAGAAACCTTGTATTACAATGTGGTCTGAGAAACAGTGGTGGAACTAACCGCAGCTGAATGAAATGATGTCGCCAAGTTGGATATAAAGTAAGTAAATAGACTCTGCTAGTTTTTACCACCGACTTCCCCTACGTTCACAGGATAAACGGTATCCCATCTGCTTTTACAGACTATCTACCTCTGCGCAATACCCCAAGTAAGTTCTGCAACAAACTCTAAATCAAATGCGTGGCCTAGCTATTTTGTAACTACAAAAGCCTTTTTTTTTACAGAAAAACCTAGCGAACCCAACAGACGTTGTCCTGCATATCCACTTGAATGTATAAACAAACATTCATTCAAATTAGTTCAGCTGTTTAGGATAAATAACCTAAACATCGACTGCAGTGCCATCTGCCGGGCTGATTTGTGAATCTAAACCATTCCCAGATCCCCTTGAAAACACACAAAAAATTTCATCAAAATCGGTCCAGTGGTTTGAGAGAAGTTCAGTGACATACACACTCACAGAAGAATTATATATATAAAGATATTAAATCTACATATTTTAAGTTCAAGCCCATAATATTATGACGAGTTGTAAAACGAGGCTTGTATTTCGACTAAGGTGCAGACTGTTTAGTTTGTAAACTATTTCCGTGCGCCTGTAGCTGAGTTCAGTTTGCGTGCGTATAAGATTAAAAGCGGGAGGACGCTGCTACGCGCTATGAACGACGCGCTACGAACGACGCGCTACGAACTACGCACTACGAACTACGATTGTAGTATTTCGCCGGAACTTAATTGTAAAATGATGGCTGATACATTAAGGGCTGGGCACGTAGCATTAAACGTTGGTTAACACACCTAACGCCCGAATACAGAAAAGCTAATTTTTAAGTTGTACTTATACATATATCGTGCCATCTCTGTCATTTCAAAATTGAGGCGTTTGAGTATTTGGACATCAGATTATTTTTACTACTTAGAGCCGATTTTTCAATGCTCAGTTAAATTTTATCAGAGAATAACTTTGAATATTTGACAATCCTTCCATACTGTCAAATGTCAATTTTATTCTACGGTCAAGAATTAACCGATGATTGTAAAATCGGCCCTTAAGAAATTTAGATGATCATTAATGAGTAAATTATTTAATAACGAAATCGGGCTATTTTAGATATTGATCTTTATCGATGTATAAAATGTGTCTAATGCATAAAAGTTATATGTAGGTACAATTGAAACTTTATAGGTAAATTGATCTGCTTTCGATGTTCAAAACAAGCAAGCATTTCGAAAAACCATCTAATAATTATATGTAGTTTCTAATTTCAACGAAAATCCTAAATAAGTAAAAAAAGACAAGCACTTTCGCACTCTTAATACCAGGATATCATTAAAATGACAAAGCAATACTCACAGAAAATCCCTGTAATGCGTCTGCTTCCAAATGTAGATCCACTGGTATCTATCTCCAGTTAAAAAATACGTGCCCAATAGGGCTACAGCGCCCATTACAGTTGGGCAACCGCGCGTTAACCATCCCAATGCCGCACATGACACTGCTATTGATGTCAGAATAACTCCCTTCTTCTTCTCCGCCTCTTCAAAACGTACGCCTGTCTTTTCTGTCATCCTGGTACATTCATTTGTCTTTGTGCATAGTTGTTTGGCTGGAATAAAAACAACTGTTAGAAAATTAATATTGACAACCCGATTTGATCCGAACTTTCGAGAAATAAAAAATTATAAACGTTAATTAAATTGTGCAGCATTGCTCTATAGAAACAGTAAAATGTGATCCTTACAATTGCAATATAGGTACTTTATTAATTACCAAATTTTCAATGCTCAAAAAGTAATAATAGAATATTAACTATACATAATAATAAGTATAGTTTTTTTTATGGCATAAGCCGGTAAACGAGCAGATGGATCACCAGATGGTAAGCAATCGGCGTCGCCCATGGACACCTGGAACACCATAGGCGTTACAAGTGCGTCACCGGCCTTTTGGGGAATTCGGAGTTTGAGGATCGTTGAGGATTCAGATTTTTGGGGAGATTGGGGAAGGGGAGGGTAATTGGGCCTCCGGTAACCTCACTCACACGACGAAACACAACGCAAGCGTTGCTTCACGTCGGTTTTCTGTGAGGCCGTGGTATCACTCCGGTCGAGCCGGCCTATTTGTGCCGAAGCATGGCTCTCCCACCCTTAAATTAACTAACAAACTCCTCCATAGTATTGACAAATGAATCCATGAATTAACAAACTCCAAGATTCTAATTCCGATCAAAAAATACTAGCTTCTCCTACCGGCTTCGCCTCTAAATCATTATCTACCCCTGTTCCAAATTTCATCCCGATACCTTTAGCAGTTCGACTGAGTGACAAACATACACAAAACTCACATATTTTCACATTTATAATATCGGTTCAAAGTAATTTCAACCATGGGTCCTACAGTTACAGCGTAAAGTTCACTGCGGGCAACCTAACATTCGACAAACTTATATTTGCGTTTGGTACAGTAACTTTGTCTAGAAGTTGTTCGTGCATATAAATTTTCGAGATAAAAAGTACCCAGTGTTATGCCCAGGATATTAAAGTATAATCATACAAACTGTGAAATGATCTGTCGTCGGCGGTTTTTCCGAACCGATACGACCTTCAAACCTTTAAGAAAATAGCGTACTCCTTTTTAAAAGGCCGGCAACGCACCTGTGATTCCTCTGGTGTTACGGGTATCCATGGGCGGCGCTGATCGCTTACCATCAGGTGATCCGTCTGCTCGTTTGCCTCCTATTCCATAAGAGAAAAGCTCTACTAGTTTCGAACCACAGAGGAGTTCTTCCTCATGAGCAACGTGCGCGGTCGCGGCGATTTCGCGAAACTATGTAGTAGAGGTTTTCTCAGTAAATTAACGTGAGTAACCCATATTTTTAGTTAATTTAGTATGTCAGACGATAGGTATTATAAAAACTACACAAAAAATATTGACATTAACATTGTAATCATAAGAAAAACAACAAAGTTATCAAGAGCTAACTTATCATATAATTAGCTAGCGTCTGTAGTAATTACTTTTGTGTTTATTAAAAAGAGGAATTTGCAATATCCCGATATCGCTTCAGTACTCAATTGACAAGTGATAATATATGATATTGTAAATATGTATATTATTATTTCCAACTATCTTATCAGTTATCACACGAGATCCCACTTTCATATGATAACGACCCCATACTACTAATATACTGTTACCTCTGTTTAAATAACAAGGTTCGCTTTTTAGAGTTTTTAAGGGGGGTCCAATGTCTTCACCCACCTCCGATGAGGAATAGGGAGTGCCAGACTTTAAAAGTCATTAAACTAGTACTCGCTCACACTTTACAGCCTAGCAAAAATGAGTTTGGAATAATGGAGTCAATACGGCTTTCATAACACCTATCGGGGCTTGAAATTAGATGAGGAATCTCCTCGAACATTTACATGAATAGGTTTATATCCTATGGGGGGTTGACGTTTTTCTCTTAGTAAAAAACCCTACTTATGAAATAAAGATAAAAAAATATTATATGTATATTAAAGCCTATGTATGGTCTATTATAAAAGTTCAGAAAGACTGTTTAATCTTCGATTTCCTGAGACTAATGTCGGAATACTGAAACGCTACTCAATTTTAAGTCGTGCTTAAGTATAGTTCTATCTCTAAAAATTCTTTGTAAAATGACAGAGATGGCACGATATTTGAGCACGACTTAAAACTGAGTAACGTTTCAGTATTCCGGCATAACGCTTTTACAATTTTTAGTTTATTTATCGGCAAGTTAATACGAGGAAAGAATTAAGATATCAGCGTTCGGAGAGTGCAAAAACCTTTGAGTACATTTATTGATAATTCACGGTCACTAAGTTGTGATAAGTGGCAAATTCGAAAACAAATTACAATCCTGTCCTTATTTACATTTTTTACTTATAATACTAATTTTATTCTTGTTTTTTTTTATGGGGTAAGCCGGTAAACGAGCAGACGGATCACCTGATGATAAGCATGGACACCTGGAATGCCAAATTTGACCGGCCCACTGTCATTTCAGCCTACCAATCCTTTGGACTACGTCAGTAACTTTGGTTCTCTGTCGGATCACCTCGCTACGGATCCTATCCTTCAGAGAGACACCGAGCATAGCACAGAACCCATTCGTCAAAGAACGGAAACCGATGGGGTAGACGTGTTCTGGAATGGAGACCGCGTCTAGGCATACGTGGGGCACACTCCAGCTAGGTGAAGTAACGATATCCGCAAAGTGGCTGGCAGTGGTTGGATGCGTAGAGCTGAAGATTGAGCTTAGTGGCGTGTCATTGGAGAGGCTTATGTCCAGCAGTGGACGAAAACAGGCTGTTGATGATGATATAAGAATTGCTCGTGTAAAGATATTAAATATTTATAGGTCATCTCATCTCAAATCACTTCTTAAATTAAGACCTTGTGCTTCAACTATTTAAAGTACCTTTTCGTCTAAAAGTGTAGTTTTGCAATAATATTCGAATTCGAGGCTGTTCAGTAAGTACTCAGTGACAGTATTTTATATAGGCACAGCATGCACCTTGTGCGTCAATTAGCAGTGCACTGCGCATTCGATTCGGTGAAGGTTAATATACGTTTTGTCAACATAAGTGATTAAGAGATTATTAATCGTTTACTAAAACATTTGTTTACGATGATAGAAAATTTTTTTGACATTATAGAAGTTGAGGTTATCCATTCTTTTTTATGTGATGGTCCGACGTTTGTCCACTATCTGTTGATGGTAAACGATGATGCGGCCTATGATGGAGCACGTCGTCCCAAAAGCAACCTATTCACTCGGGCCTTGAAGACACCCATGAAACACAGACTCTAGCAAAGAATTCCACTCCTTAGCAGTACGCACAAGGAAGCTTGAAACGAAGCGCTCCATGAAGCGGTGGCGCTTTGCTGATTGTCTTGCGGTACGATGATGGAAAGGACTAGCGGGAATCAAGTTATACAATTGAATGTCTTTACTCGAAGATCCACTTTTCGGACAAAGTCACTTTTGAGTGTAGTGCTGCTTAAAATATGATTAATAACTCTAAGTTTAACACAATGAGTTATGTTTAACAATAAGTTCTTATTTCATTGCATGACGTTAGTTAGATCGACTAGACCATGAAACTATAAAGATAGAAATATACAAGTAAGTGCATACTTAATGGTAACTTGTTCCTTACTTCATGTTACAGTAAAAATGCCTTCAGTTACTTACGTTATGTGAGAGACTTATTAAAACAAATAAGACAACTTGGTAGTGTTTTCACACTTCGGGTTACATTATCTAAATTTTCAAACGGCTCCCTATTTTCTCTCTTATTAATTATAGTCAATGTTCATCATCGATAATGTAGGAATCCAATGGTAAAAGATTTTTTCAAATCGGTCCGGTAGTTTTGCTCGAGATTCCATTCAAACAAACAAAAAATCAAATCTTTCCTCTTTATACTATTAGTGTAGATGTAGATGTAGATAAAACGGTCCAAGTAAATGGCCTCCAGTAACAGGATCGAATGACTCGTACCTAGAGTTGCACTTTGAACACATATCCTCCTCATCAAAAAGTGATGACGTAGAAGGAAGCCGAAGAATACGGGCCTGAGTGAATCGTTTAACTGTAGCGACTGCTGACCGTCGTCGTCAAAGTAAATCGGTCCTTAGTGCTCGGGAAATTGCCATTTATCTTATAGTACACGTCAAACTATACAAACCAGTATAAACTGACCGTTGAACGTGCCGAATGATCATAGTAAGCGAGATCATGGTATGTGGTACATCGAGTAACTTTATATAAGCCGATCTTTTAAATAAGACTTACCCTTTTAAATAAGTACAAAGTTTATGTTATAACGTGAGATATACTAAATTAATTATTATGTTTTTCGGCTTACTCAAGTACTTATTTGACGAGGAACTCGACTAATTTCAAGCCATGTAGAGGCTCTTATTAATGAGCAGTAGCAGCGCGACAGTCGCCGCGTCGTGTGTCGCGGAATGCTGCTCATTTATATGAGCCTCTACATGGCTTGAAATTAGTCGAGTTCCTCGTCGAATAATTACCTAAATAAGCCGAACAACATAATAATTAAGTACAAAGTTTTGTTTAGTATTATTTAAAAAAAATAAAGAGCTATCAAAATTAACGACTTATCGCGAATATTTATAACAAAGTCACGAATGAATGTCGGTCTTACGTATTATTAAAATATTTAATGTATATTTTAATAATGTATGTGGGAATTAATGTATGTATAATATATTATGTATTATACATTTGCATAATTTTACTTTTTGATTAAAATCGATAGTAATAATGTTATTCATAGAATAAAAATCCAAATAAATTATAATCCGTACACAAATATTTTATTACATTATTGTATTGTATTGTATTCACACAAAAACAACACGAGCTCAATCGATTCACTATAACGACATTAATATTGAAAACGAATATTTGATACAATAAAACTAATATAGTTATCAACATCACACGACACCAAATACAGACTTAATAAAATATATCCCAAAATAACACACAAATAATTAAAACAATAACTAAATTTTAGTTATGAAAAAAAACACGATATTGTTATTATAATTGTACTTACCTAAACAAATTTGAACGGACTGATAACGTAATCACTAGCACACAAGTCCACGGGCAGCGCGCTTTGCTCTCTAAACGAGACTGGCCGTCAACTGATACAACTTGCATAACATGGCTGTGCCACAATCCAACGACAACGTGAATATCGTTAAAACTAGTTATCCGAGGCCTTAGTACGAGTTTGATTTACGTTTAAAGTATTCGAAACGAGTTTGCGTTCGGCACTCTGATTGGCCGGCGCCAATGAAGCAACCAATCACAGCGCCGAACGCGTACTCGGTACGATTACTTTAAACGTAAATCAAACTAGTACTAAGGCCTATGTCCTGACTAGTAGTTGTTTCGTTATTGTGATGTGAGTTAGTGTGTGATGAATTGTGTTTGTTGGATTTTATTATTATCTTTTATCTTATACTATTATATTATATAAATTACCTCGCCTGGTGGTAAGTGATGATGCGGTCTACGATGGAGCACGTCTGCCCATAAGCAATCCTATTCACTCGGGCCTTGAAGACTCCCAGGATAAAAACATAACGTCACGCCTTTTATCCCCGAAGGGGTAGGCAGAAGTGTACATTACTGTACAATGTAACACCCACTTTTCACTATTTATGTTATGAGTCCCATGTGATAGGGGGTGAGCCTATTGCCATATACCGGGCACAATTCCAGACTCCGTGCCACTACTGGGAATTTTTTGAAAAACCCAGTAATACTTTTGCCCGACCTGGGAATCGAACCCGAGACCCCTTGCTCGGCAGCCGCACTTGCGACCACTCGGCCAATAAGGCAGTCATCTCCCCTTCACTTCCAGGATATACCCTTGATTAACAGGTGTGATGTTATTTTACTATTAGACCACACAGAGATAGTTCCTAGGCCTCCTAGTTTAGCATAATTAGTACTTAATTGTAAAGTACTAATATCTGCACCAACAAATAAGATTATATTTCTACTCATAACAAATTGTAATCTTTAAACTGATTACTTCATTAGTAAAAGCAACTTCAGTAGTCAATCCCTTTACCTATTGTCTAATTGATATAAAAATATGGTTTTCGCTTTACTTCATACTTCCTTGTGCGAACTTATAAGGAGTGGTTTTTTTGTCAGAGTCTACATTTTGTGATGGGTAGACCTGTGTGTCTTTAAGGCCCAAGTGAATAGGTTTGCTTATAGGTAGACGTGCTCCATCGTACCACGAGTTAGTGGCCAAACAAAAAAAAATCGTTTCATGTCAGAGAGACACCTTCAGAAGATGTCTAGCTTTTAGGGACTAAGACTGAAAAATGTAAGATTCTTACTTCACTGAATCCATACCATGGTGATCACGGGTCACAGGTTCTTCTGGGACTCTAAATAAACAAGCACCTAACTTCACCGAAGCCCATTGTGCCCACCTTTGACTTTAGATAAAGTCTAATCATTTATTTCAACTGTTTTACCTATAAAAACTACAGGTTACGATTAATAATAACAGTAGTGACAATATTACGTTCACCGTGTAAGCGTTATAAACCTTGACATTCTAGCAACAAAAAAACAACTGATATAAATACCAGTTATTAAAAAACAGTTATCGTTTCACTATGTCACAACACTACAGCGACGCGGACAGGGAACACCGCTATAAAAATAAACAATCTGCTATCCTGCTTGTGTCGCATACGACGTTTTTAACGAAGTGTGTCATTAAAATATTATCTGTTGTAGACGGATAAAGGTCGTTAGTACCATTGCGTGTAGTGGCGAATTTGTTACATAAGCGCAAGTCTCATTCATATTCTGTTGAGATATACAATGGGTCTATCGGGATGTTCGTTAGTACAATGTGATCGTAAATTCCTAATCAATCAATGTGTCGACTTAGTTTTGTGAATCCTAAATAGGTGGGTGCTGACTTATTTTAAGATATGATACTATACTTTAAAGATTAAAATCATGTGCGGTTTTATTTGTCTGCCACATTGGTGTGTAAAATGAGGAAGTTAATGTCTTATCTGTGGAGAACGGAGCAAGTATAAATGTGGGAGAGCCATGTTCCAGCACGACTGGGTCGGCTCGACCGCTGTGATACCACGGCCTCACAGAAAACTTGTGTGACGAAACGACCAGAGCGTTGCGTTTCTTCGTGTGAGTGAAGTTATAGGAGGTCCAATTCATACATACATACATCCATAACTTCACGCCTGTCTCTCATGGGGGTAGGCAGAGACGAAGGAACGCCAATTACTACGATTCTTACATACCTCTTTCGCTTCATTAACAGTTATCAATCTTTTCATGCATGCTCGTCGGTTAAGGGTACTTTTGGGGTCCAATTCCTCGCCAATGTACCCATTTCCCCAATACCTAAATACACAATCTTGAAATACTTATATCTCCTTTGGTGATGCGGGTACATCTGTATAAAAAAAAAACATTAAAACCTATGTAACTGGCTTATTCACTCATTGTTATTCTCAACACACAATCTCGTACATCTGTTGTCGCCTGCTAAACCTTCAAAAACTAATGTTATCCTTGTACGCTTGTGCTGTGCAAATCTCGACCTTATACGCCTATTAATCTATACATATAATAAAATTGTAGAAAAGTGCTGTCTGTACATTGAAAATAAAAATAAAAAAATAGCAGGGGCTATTGTTATGTCGATGTCAAACCCAAAAATGTAACTAACTTTTTTTTGTCTGTTTGTCTGTTTGTCTGTTCACGCTAATCTCAGAAACGGCTTATCCGATTTGGATGCGGTTTTCACGAATATATTGTGGTATGCTTCAGTTATGCTTTAGTGTTTGTTTCATGTCAATCGGTTCATAAATAAAAAAGTTACGTCAAATTAAAGAATCACGTCGAACACTATCTATCTATCTTCTATACATATAATAAAATTGTAGAAAAGTGCTATCTGTACATTGAAAATAAAAATAAAAAAAATAGCAGGGGCTATTATCTAAAATAAAAATAAGTATATATTTAAAAAAAAAACGCTGCTCATAGTCACTATTCTACGCGAACGAAGTCGCGGGCACAGCTAGTCTTGTAATAAAACAAATGAAAATAATACTACAATTTAACATACAGAGTGACTATACAAATATATCAGTGTGGGAGAGCCATGCTTCGGCATGAATGGGCAGGCTCGACCGGAGTGATACCAAGCCTCACAGAAGACCGATGTGAAACAACAATGTGTTGTGTTTCGTCGTATGAGTGAGGTTACCGGATGCCCAATTACCCCCCCATCCCTTTCCCCTATCCCTGAATCCCCAACAATCCTCAAATGTAAATGCTTTATGTAAATAGTTGTTTTTGATTTTCCTATAATTAATTTTAATCTTAAGTTGTATATTTAATTTAGTAATATTTAGTTTTAATTTTATTTACTGCCTGCGTCGTTGGCCGAGTGGTCGCGAGTGCGACTGCCGGGCAAGGGGTCTCGGGTTCGATTCCTGGGTCGGGCAAAGTATTACTGGGTTTTTAAAAAAATTCTCAGTAGTAGCACGGAGTCTGGAAATGTGCCCGGTATATGGCAATAGGCTCACCCCCTAACCCCCTATTGCATGGGACTCATAACATAAATAGTGAAAAGTGGGTGTTACTTCTGTGTGCACCTCTGCCTACCCCTTCGGGATAAAAGGCGTGATGTTATGTTATGTAATTTTATTTAAGTAATAGTATTAAGTCGTCGAGTACCAGTTTTGTAAACACAATTATAGAACAATATGTTGCGGTCACCGGTGACCGCTTGGTTTTGACAGTTTAATTTAAGTTTTTTATTTGAATAACGTAATTTATCATCCTCAAATTTCTAATTCCAAAAGCCGGTAACGCACTTGTAACGCCTTTGGTGTCCGTGGGCGACGCCAATTGCTTACCATCAGTTGATCCGTATGCACGTATACCGGATTATACCATAAAAAAAATATATATATGAACTTAGCTGACACGGCAAACTTCGTACCGCCTAATAATTTTTTTCATCACTTTCCCTGGACTTCCACGAACATTTCGACACCAGAATTAGCCAAATCAGTTCAACCGTTCTAGAGTTTCAATGAGACCAACAAACAGAAATTCATGTTTATTTTTATAAATATCTTAAGAGAGCAACATTGGTATATTACATAGTTATTGTGTGTGTTATATAAAGAGACGGACCTCTAAAGTTTATTTCGGCATTTCTTCTCAGAGTAGTCAGTTAGGAAATGCCATGGCTTCATCATTCGCTTGATAAATTGACGTGTAAAAGTTCTGCCTTGTTACCTATTTGCAGAAATAAATTCACTTGTTGGTGTTTTAGTATTATCTCAACACTTTCCCATCTCAGAACAAATGAATTAAATTGGAATTTTAAGCATTTACGATTGATTGATGAATTAATGATTACCGCGGTCAGACTAAATGAATAGTCAATCAATAAAATCATCATCGACAGCCAATTACAATGTATGACTGAACTACGGGATTTCTTTACACTAGTGACGATGGCATGGTTGGCGGGGTGGCTGGACAACTAGCTGTCTGGTATGTCGCGGGTTCGATTACCGCACGGAACAACTTTTTGTCTATATCTATACTAATATTATAAAAAGGAAACATTTGTACCTATTTTTGTATGTTTGTAATGAATAGGCTCAAAAAGTACTGGGCCGATTTAAAAAATTCTTTCACCAACAGAATGCTACATTCTTCCAATTTGACATAGACTACATTTCATTTTGAAAAAAATTAGGGACACTTGGTAAAATTTGAACAATGTAACCGAAGGTGTAGAAAAATTAGTCTTAAAATGTCTTTCGTCGAATGCGCTGCTGAAACTATTAGCGTTAGAACAAAATAATGTACAACAATATTGAAGAACATCATAATGTCTACAAGAAACTCCGCGGTAGCATATGTCCAACTATTGTAGTCATTTTACTACAACAATCCAAATTCCCAAAAATAAATAATTGTCTACCCCGTGCGAAGCCGGGACGGGCTGCTAGTGTGATATATATTCATACGCGTGTAGTAAAAAGCGGTTATTAATGTTACAAACAGACACTCCAATTTTACTTATCTGTATAGATGCAATTATAGAAATTCAACCAATAGAACACATACCTCATTAATCAGATAAACTATGCAAGTTCAAATCTTGTATCAAATCATACAATAACGTTCGATTGCGTAGTCTGATGGAAGGAACCTTGACCTCATTGCAAGTCGGGTCAACGACCGGTAAATAACCAACCAACGTTTTGTTGGACAAGATAAATTATACAGTGTGACTGCTGTGAAATGAGAGCGAATCATAATGTTGAATATTTATCCTGGACCAGCTGCAGCGTGTTACTTCGCTTTCAGAAATATTTATAACATTTCAATAGTGGATTTTAAAGTTAAACACTGGTCAAATGGTAAAAAGTGATTGCCTGACATTGAAGTTTTTAATGTGTTTCAGCATCTTTTTACATCGTCGTGACGCCCGCTTCTCATGCATGAGGGTGCGGGGTCGAAACCTACCAACGGCAAGTACCAATGTGACTTTTTCCGAGTTATATGTACTTTCTAATATTATTTAGACACCACTGTCAAGGAAGGGACAAAAGGACTAGAAAAAAAGGACAGAAGGAGGAGGAAGGGACAAGGGACTGAAGGAAAAACATCGTGAGGAAACCTGGACTTATAATTTCTAATTATAAGTTTTAAATTGCCAACCCGCATTAAGCAAGCGTGGTGATTAATGCTCAAAACCTTCTCCGTTGCTCAGCAGCATGGGCACTTATAGCGGTTGATGATGATCTTTTTACACAATTAACCCTTCTTATAACAGTATAAAATCGGTAGGATTTAATTAGAACGACTGCTGCAAGAGCTATAGCACATTTACCTAAACGTTTTATTGCGCTGATGATTGCAAAGGCGCTGAAAAAAGGTGAGCTGCATACCAACATATTATGTGCATTTACTTGCATGTATAATAATATCTAAAACCGTAAATACTTATCATAATTATGCAAACTTGGAATCACTAGATCATGCTAATATTGATTTTGTACGGAAATTTAATATGCCACAACTTATTGCGCCCTAGCTGTTACCGGCGATTTCATCCGCAGAGAATATGATTCCTGTTTTACCCCATGGGACATCAGGATAAAAGTATCACCTAAACCAGCCTATACCCTACCTATATACTAAAATTCACCGGCCCATAGTGTTGCTCGACGAGGTGGCAAAAGTCTTCGAAAGAATCATTTCGAACCGCCTCGTCGCGCACCTGACGGACATTGGGCCGGACTTGTCGGACGGCCAGTTCGGCTTCCGCAGAGGGCGCTCCACGGTGGACGCCATCATGCGCGTTAGAGACCTCACGACGGGGACTGCAGTGTCCAGGGGTAAGGTCGTAGTGGCGGTGTCTCTGGACATCGCCAACGCCTTCAACTCCCTGCCCTGGAGCTGCATCTTGGAGGCACTCCGATATCATCGGGTGCCTACCTACCTCCGTCGTGTAATCGAGGCTTACCTGACGGACAGGTCCGTCAGCTACCCCGGTCACCGGGGCGAGTGGAACCGGCGAGAGATGTCACGCGGTGTTCCACAGGGTTCGGTTCTGGGGCCGCTCCTGTGGAACATCGGCTATGACTGGGTGCTGCGCACCGACCTCCCGAACGGCGTTAGCACAATATGCTACGCCGACGATACGCTGGTGCTAGCGCACGGGAGGTCACACCAGGCGGCGGCCGACTTAATGGCGACAGCGGTTGCGACAGTCGTTGAGAGAATCCGGCAGTTGGGACTCGAGGTGGCGCTCCACAAGTCCGAGGCCATGTGTTTTCATGGCCGCGGGAACGCGCCACCTCCGGGTGGGTCCCAAATAACGGCGGGAGGAGTTACCATCGGCGTCGAGACGACGATGAAGTACCTAGGACTCGTCCTCGACAGTCGGTGGAACTTCATTGAACACTTCCGACGTTTGGCTCCAAAGTTGGCGAGGACGGGGGCTGCGTTTAAACGCATCCTCCCCAACCTCGGGGGGCCAAACGCCTCCTGCCGGAGGTTATACGCCGGGGTCGTGCGGTCCATGGCCCTCTACGGCGCCCCTGTTTGGGCGCCAAACCTGTTGCGGCGTCCCGCTCGGACGCTGCTCATGGCACAGAGGGTCATGGCGATCCGAATGATCCGCGGATACCGCACGATCTCTGGGGAGTCGGCGAACCTCCTTGCCGGATTACCGCCGTGGGATCTGGAGGCGAAGGTGCTCGCGCGCGTGTACAGCATGCGCGCGGAGGCACGTCGCCGGGGCGAAACCCCGCTGCCGCGCCAGATAGGTGCGTGGCGGGATGAGCTCCGGCGCGATCTCATGGCGGAATGGCAGCAACGACTGTCGCAACCGAGGGCTGGGCTCGCTGCCATCGCAGCGGTAAGTCCCCTCTTTGAGGAGTGGCTTGAGAGACGCTACGGCGTCCTCACCTACCGCCTGACGCAGGTCCTCACCGGACATGGAAGTTTCGGGAGGTACCTGTGTCTGATGGGGCGGGAGGAAACGCCCGGGTGTCATCACTGCGAGGACCGCCCTGAGGACACGGTGGAACACACGGTGGGAGAATGCCCTTCGTGGGCTGAGCACCGCCGTGTCCTCAGGGAAGTGATCGGCGATGGCGACCTCTCGCGTCCGGGCCTAGTGCAGGCCATGATGCGGAGCGAGGGGGATTGGGATGCCGTCTCCTCCTTTTGCGAAGCAGTCATGCTAGCTAAGGAGGAGGCGGGACGCGTGAGGCAGCGAAGCGCTGCCTCCTCGCAACCCAGCCATCGCGAAGGACACACCGGGCGTCGGGGATCGCGGGACGATCTCCGGCCACCGTAAGCGCGGGCCTGCGGACGGCGAGCATGGGTGGCTCCCCGTCCGACCAGAAACAGACCCGAGCGTACGGCGCGTCGCGTTCCGCGCGCGCCTCAAAGAGCCATCAGACCACCACAGATGGGGCCCAATAGGGCCGATGCCGATTCGGAGTCGCGGAGAACCTAACGGGTAACCGGGGCTCCGGCTCGACGTGCAGGAGAAGGAACGGGGTGGTTTTTAGTCAGTAAGAGTCTGACACTCCCTC